TCTTCAAATTAGAGTGTGTTAAAAAAATCATAATACCTATTATTGTGAATTTTGCTGAAATGGGAACTTACATACCCTGCTGAGGTGATTGTAAGTTAATAACAGCTTTTTGGAAAACAACTTGATAATATGCATAAATAGACTTAAAAACAGTCACACCCTTTGATCTAGCAATTACATTTCTGAGACTGTTGTATTGAGACGATTGATTATTGTTTTTTAAATTTTTAAAATTTTTTTTAATTTTTTTAAGATTTTATTTATTTGAGAGAGAGAACATGAGTGGAGGAGCAGGGAGCCCGATGTGAGGCTGGATCCCAGAACCCTGGGATCATGACCTGAGCCAAAGGCAGACACTTAACTGGCTGAGCCACCCAGGTGCCCCAGAAACTATTGATTATTGTTAATAATCAGAAATATGGATCAGTATTTATATAAAAGATTTATTACAGTGTTATTTATAATAGTAGAAAATGGAAGCAATCTTAATAATTAACTATAGAAAATGATTAAATATCTTATGGTGGGCACCTGGGTGGCTTAGTCAGTTGAGCATCTGCCTTTGGCTCGGGTCATGATCCCAGGGTCCCGGGATCGAGCCCCACGTCGTTATACATGTCGTCCTCGGGCTCCCTGCTCAGTGGGGAGCCTGCTTCTCCCTCTCCCTCTGCTGCTCCCCCTGCTTGTGCTCTCTTGCTCTCTGTCAAATAAATAAATAAAATCTTTAAAAATAAATATATTATGGTATCTTCATATGATGAAATAGCATAGAGCCACTTAAATGTTTATGAAGACATTTATTACAGAAAAAATTTAGTGTATAACATTAAGAAAATGGAAAAGCATGTAAAATGTGTATATATATAGTTTGTGCTTAATTGTATATGTACATACAGTACATTTTAAAATAGTGAGCAGAAATGTTTTTAAGTTAATGGTGATTCTCTGGGTGGTAGAGCTACATGCAGTTTTCTTCGTTAGCATTTTGTATTTTCTAAATTTTCTATACTAAGCACGTATCATTTTTATTAAGCAAAACTAATAAAACTTTTTTTAAAAATAAAATACTTCAGTTTTTTTCTTTTTTTTAAGATTATTTATTTATTTGACAGAGAGAGTACAAGCAGGGGGAGCGGAAGGCAGAGGGAAAAGCAAGACCCTGGGATCCCAGGTCCCAGGAAATGGGATCATGACCCGAGCTGAAAGCAGACGCTTAACCAGCTGAGCCACCCAGGCACCCTAAAATGCATGCTTTAATCTCTTTAGCAAAGTTCATTTGGGATGAATTGTTAGAGAAGTCATTCTTGCTCATAATAATCACCAGTGTGTTTTCTAAATATTTGCAAACCACCCCTATATCTGTTCTACAAATTGGCCGGGTTATCAGCATCAGGCTTAAAAGCTTGTGGGGCTTGTTTTCTGTTTGTTTTGAATAACAGCATTACTGAGATTCCCCGCACATAGCATAAAGCTCACCCTTCATAGTGTACAGTTCAGTGGTTTTTAGTTGATTCACAAATTGCACAGCCACCACCATCTAGATTCAGAACATTTTCATTAACCTGAAAAGGAACCCTGTACTAATTAGGAGTCACCCCCCATTTCCCTTTCCCCTTAACCCCTGGCAACCACTAATCTGCCTTCTGTTTCTATGGATTTACTAATTCTGGAGAGTTCATATAAATGCAGTCATACACTATGTGGCCTGCTGCAATATCCTATTAGCTCGTCTTCAGCTCCTCCCCCCTCCACTGCCAGAAATGTCATTTATGCCACCACCATGCTAATCTTTCTGGCATCACTGTGACTTTACCACCTCTGGCTCAGAACTTTTCTGTGTGCCCATAGTTTATGAAATCAGCAGGAACTACTACTCATTCTGGCATTTGAGGTTTTCTGTATTCTGACTCTACAGAGTAGACACTTACTAAATATCTGGTGAATAAATGAATCCAATGAATAAGATGTACTCTGCCTTATCTGTCCCTCTCCTTCTCCCTCAGGGAAGAAGATAATTACTATGAGTTAGTCAGATTTCGGGTCACTGCTGGGGCAAGAAAACCTCTCTGTGAAGTTTAGGGCAGTGGTGAACTTTCGCACGCGGGGCTTGGGAGAGGGCGGGCCACCCCCAGAGGTCCTCATTCACTAGGGCTGGGCTGGAGCCAGAGTGTGTGTTTGTGACACTTCCTAGGCGGCACTTTCAGACCACCGTTCCAGGGCCTGACAGCAGGCTTGGAGGGAGAGAGGGTAGGTGAGGACGGAAAGATCGGGGCTCCCCAGTTGTTGAATGGTATGTGTCACCAGCAACTCTGGCCCAGCCTTGCTCTTCAATAACTGCGGCACATCGGCGGGCACTCTGCTCATATCTCCTACACCCTCACTCCCCACCCCAGCTTCACTTTGAAAAATTGTGCCTACCCTTCAAAACCCAGCTCAGGCGTTCATAAAACCTTCGCCACGGCTCCCTACAACAAGAAGCAATTTTCTCCTTAGGAGCACTTTGTATTTTTCATATATACTGGATTCTGTTAATTCCATTCTTGTTTCTTCCTCCTAAATCTTTGATTTCTTGAGATTAAGTTCAGTTTCTTACTCAGTAATTGTACTGCCGTGTCCGTAGAACACAGTAATTTGCCCTTAGCAGCTTACTTAGTAATTATCAGTACAGCTGAACATCAGAAAGAAAGAAATGCAAATAGATTTTTAAATTAAAACCCTATAATTTAGGTTATATTTTTAATACCAAAAAGAGACCTACCTGTATTAATTAGAAACTTAATCTTACATGAAACGTAATCGTCCAGGCCCAAATGTGTTTTACCCTAAGTAATAGTCGTTGCTGTAGGTTTTGAAACATTGGCTTAAAACAAAACAGCAAACTAAAGAAATCATATGCCTGTGTTATGAAGACACACGTGGTATGTTGTGATAATTGAGAGCCAGTTTAATTTTCTCCATGTGTCTAGCCCAACTGCAGCCAGGGTTTGAGTTTCAGAATGAATTCTTACCCTTTTGGTTTTGGATCAGACAAAAGGAATAGAATATAGTTAGCTGTCTCTGAGGTGTCAAGCAATTATCTTAAGTTCTTTTAAGTGTCATTTCAAGCTTATTACTTACCTGTTATGGTTAAATAAGGTGCAACAGTCTTACAGATCTTTATCCATAGGTGTAGGTTTTACAAAACAATTTTTACTCTCAGTGGAAAGCACGTTTTAGGACTAATGAAAGAAAAAGGTAGAGAACAACACATTCTGCAATGGGAGTTTGTTTTAATCTTTTCAATGCCTGTTCTAGGCTACCCTTATTTAGTCGATTAAATTATTATTGTAACACACTTTAAGCTAATTTGGGTCTAAATTCTATAAACTACCCAGTGGGTAATTAGAAGCTACCATTCTTGAGTCCAATTATATTTTTAGTTCTACAAAACACCATATCTCTCCATCTGAAGTTATTAAAGGGAGAAAACCCTCCATTTACAGCTCTCCAGGACACGTCTCTGTCCTCTTCAAAAGTCCTCAAAACCTGAGGGCTCCCTGGCCTCTGATCCTGAGGTCAGAGAATTGGGCTCTATTGTATATAGTCAAAATAATAACAATAGGATTGTACCTCTGAAAGCTGTTTGTGTGTCCCAAGTTGGAAACTTAAACATAAATCTCCCCTAAACTACTATGGTATGGTCAGATTCAACAATTACTGATAATCCAACATTTGAGAGAGGAAAAAAATAGTGCTTGGCTCATATTTAATTGCCAACTTTATTTTAAAAAATGTTTTTAGAATAATGATTCTTATAAATAACTTTCTACATTCTAGTAATTCTCAGTAAATCATTCTGTGGGTTTGTGTTATTTGCAGGTAAAAATGCTTAATTTGGTTTGTTTTTGTAAGACCAAATTGGATTGGGGGGGGTGGCTGTCGATCCAGAGCTGCCCTTTTCTCTTTTTAATGGCAACCACTGCCTCACAGCAAATACTGTTCAGAGTTATTGTAATGATGTGACCAAAAGAAAGTTTATAGGAATTGGTATGGTGAGAAAATGATTCAGAGGTCCTCCCACCAAACCAACTTTTTCCTCCTTGCTCATTTTCCACTTCTGTGGAAGAGTGGTAGAGAACAGAGGAAAAAAACATAAAAAAATAATACTTCAGAAAGACTTCTCACACAGGTTTTACCCTAGTAAGGAAACATAATTTAAACTGCCAAAGGGCCTGTCGCCCTGTGCTAGTTTTTCCTCTAAGCACAAGCATTGAATTTTGTTTCCTATACTTTATCCCTGGGACGTGCTTAAAAATTTTGCCCCTTACTTTGTTTTCCTGTTTGATTAGAGATAACTCCCAAGAAAGTCTGGAATTAAAATGAGTGAGAATGAGAAAAGGCAGGAAAGAATGAGTATCCCAAGTTTCACCTGTGGTACCCAGAAACTGCTGTGGGAGGTAGCACTGTGAGCTGGCTAGGAGAGTGCCCTGGACCCTCTCCAGAGGGAAGCAGCTAATGATGGAAGAGAAAGAAGTGTGGTTTTCATTTTATGCACCTTGGGCTGGGGAACAAGTAGAAGGGAACCTTTCATTTTTCCTGCTGGAATCTAGGAAGCCTTCATAAAGAGGATGATTTTTCAGCTTGGCTTGAGGGATATGATTTTCCTGAGGAAGAAGAGCAATTTTAGTAACCTTTGCTGGAAGGCTCTTACGATGTGGGTATTTTTCTTGCTTTAAGAGAGAAAATATGAGAAAGTTCCTGAGGTTAAGGAGAATAAGTGATGAGTCCAGAATGACCAAGAGCTTCCGTCTTTCTTATACAGAAGTAAATTTGGAGAAGTATAAGCTGGTTGTAAGATCGTTTTAGTAGTCTAGAAACTGTTGTGGGATATCTTTTGTTTTATCAAAGGAAATAATTTATACTTCAGATTTCATTTAAATGAAGTTCAATTTATTTCTTTCATTTGGGGTAGTCTTTGTATTTCTTACTTTTACTGTAAGGTAGGCTTACCTCATTTTATGCAATATTCTCCCCCAAAATATGCATGTAAAGAACTTGTGCATTTATAATTTGCATTCCAGAGAACTGATTATTTAAAAAATCTCTTTCTGGCTTGCTTTTTGTTTTGTTTTGTTTTTCCCAGCAGTAGAACCAGGGTACTCTCTTTCCTCCCCTTCCCTTCTTCCTCCCTTCCTCCCCTTCCCCCCCTCTCCTTTTTCCTCCCTTTCCCCCTTTCCTTCTTCCCTTTTTTCCCTCTTCCGTTCTTCCTTTTTTTTTTGTAAACTCATAAAAGTCTGATGCGTTAATGAAAGGAAATTTGGAAAATAGAAAAATTATGCCCATAGTGCCCATCAAAACAATTTAACTGCTAATATTATGATGAATTTTCTTCCAATTTTTTTCTATAGTCTTCTCTGTTTTCACCATCAGCTTAAATTATTTCATAAACATTTACATGCTATCAAATTCAACCTATAATAAATAGCTTACATTTATTAAATAAGCCCTTAGGTGCCAGTCACTGTTATATGCTCTTTACATCTCTTGCTCTCAACAAACTTAAGGAGATAGGTATTATTATTTCTTGAAGAAGTGAAACTTAGGTTCAAAGAGATTAATTAACATAATAACGTAACTAATATGTGATATTCCTGGGGTTCCAAACCAGAGTGGACAGCAGAGGATGTGCTCTGAGCCTCTATACATTGTACAGCTTTTATGGTTGCATAATAAATTCTGTTATGACTCTTAGAGGTCTATTAGGTCTCTGCTCGGATGTCACCCTATCAAAGGAGAACTTTCCCGACCACCCATTTAAAAAGCTACACTGTACTCTATCCTAACCGTACCGTATTTTTCTCTAAAGTGCTGATCACTATCTGATAAAGTAAAATGTTTGTTTTATTCTTTCTTCCTTCTCCACTTTCTTATTAGAACGTAAGAGTCATGGATAAAAGACTTGGTCTGGGGGCGCCTGGGTGGCTCAGTTGGTTAAGCGACTGCCTTCGGCTCAGGTCATGATCCCGGAGTCCCGGGATCGAGCCCCGCATGGGGCTCCCTGCTCTGCAGGGAGTCTGCCCCTCCCTCTGCCCCTCCCCCCTCTCGTGTGCTCTCTGTCTCTCATTCTCTCTGTCTCAAATAAATAAATAAAATCTTTAAAAAAAAAAAAAAAAAGACTTGGTCTGCTTTGTTCATTGTGGTATCCCCCAATATGTAGAACCGTGGCATGGCGCTGTTCAGGATTATTTGTTGAATGACCTCGCCTTTACGTTACCTTTGCATGAATGCTGATTTTCTTAATCAGCCTCCGTTGGGACCGACGGGCTACAATAATCACATGCGCTGCGCTCCCCTCCGTACATCACAGGACTGCCCCTGCTCTGCCCTGAGTGTCTGCGGCACCCCACCCCTCCGTACCCTGCAGTGACGCTGCGTGGCTACCGAGCGCCGGCTTCTTATCTAGACTGGGTTATGCCACTGGTTGTTGTAATTACATCATTTAATGAAATATTATGTAACTAAGTATGAGCTTAAAAAGACACATATGCTTCTATAAAGACCAGGATGAATGCTTTGAAAAACTCAAATGGACAAAAATTCCTGTCAAATAAGTATATGCAACACATCTATAATAGGAAAAATAATAAAAATACACCTCGTAAGCACTTATAAGAAATCAGATTGTCTACAGTTTCTAGCTTTGTTTTAGACATTGAGTAGACAATGCCTTAATAATATCAATATGAAACTCCAGTGGAGACTGATACTCAAATGTATATTTTTATGTTTAAAGTTAAAACGAAATGATTAAAGGTAGTAGGTGTCATTTTTATAATTGCTCTTGATAACCTGACTTTTAAAATTAGCCAATTACTGGGCGCCTGGGTGGCTCAGTTGGTTAAGCGACTGCCTTCAGCTCAGGTCATGATCCTGGAGTCCCGGGATCGAGTCCTGCATCGGGCTCCCTGCTTGGCGGGGAGTCTGCTTCTCCCTCTGACCCTCCTCCCTCTCGTGCTCTCTGTCTCTCATTCTCTCTGTCTCAAATAAATAAATAAATAAATCTTTAAAAAAAAAAAATTAGCCAATTACTACTTCTGTTCTATAGGAAAAGGCAGCTTTTACTGTTTGGAATGAAACTCCGCGTTCTTAGTATGCCAGAGAAAATTTCTAGCTGGTTTTGTTATTTCAGTAACTTCATAATAAATTCAATAGTAACAATACTACTTCATTTCCCCTCAGGGAATAATTGCTTTGTGAGCTGAGGCATGATTTCCTCTCTGCACCAGAATGTGAGCTTCAGGTGGCCCGGGACTCGTAGCTCTGTTTCCAATGTCTACAATGGTACTTGGTGCATTAATTAGGTACTGAGTGGATAGATGGATGATTCTAAAGTATGTATGTTTTTTGTAGAAAGAAATGTTTTGCATTTTGCAATAATAACCGTTAGATTTTTAGCAAAAAGAAAAGTACTTTCAAATTATGTATTCGCTGGTGATCAAATTAAAATATGCTGCTTTCTATAATATATATTAATTTGTTTCTCTCTTTAGTGAAAGTATTGAAATACAGTGCCCACATTGCAGTGGTTAAGAAATGAGGAAGTGTTTGGATTCACTTATAAGCTCTAAAACTTCTAACCGTGGCCTTGGTCAAGTTGCTTTATTCTGTATCTCCATTTCCTCATCTGTAAAATGGGGCTAAATGTACGTTGTTACAAGCACTGGAGGGGTTCATATACGTGAAGTACATAGCGCCTGCCAAGCTAGTAAGTATTCAGTGAGTGATAGTTATTACAGTTATGCCTGGAGTTTGACTCCTGACCTGTCATTTATAATCTGTGTGACTTGGGCAAATTACTCATGGAAACAGCTCAGAGAGGTTCGATGATCTGCAAAGGTGAGAGAGAGAGTGTGTGTATACACAGGTATATAAACATGAAAATGGGGATTTTTAAGCAAGAAAATGTGTACCAAGTGCTCAACTCAGTAAGTACTTCCTAAATGCTAGTATTACACACACAAACCCCAACATACCATACTATGAGAGAGGACTTTAATTTATTTATTTAAAAACGGTTTACAACTGGAATAATAAAAGTACGTAATAAAAGTGTTTCTTTATATAGAAACAGACAGACGGTCTTGCCCTTGCCATTTCCGTAAGTTTTTCTCATAAATTAGGACTTTGTTTTTTGATCTCAAAAAGAAGTTTAAAGTCAATTTCAGAATAAAGACAGATAAATGAATTTTAATCTGCACAAGTTATGAAACTCCAACACAAGCCCTACATTGTAGTTGTTGGTTTGATGACATCTTTCCAGAATACTAAGCCTCCAGGGAAAGCTGGTGTTACGAATGTTGACTAGGGGCTAAGTAATACCATGCTTGAAGGGGAGGGCCGTGCTTACATTGTGCAAGGGACGCAGCTTCTTCCCCGTGTCTTCACGAGTCCGAGGCCTTACTGAAACGTCGCCCTGCTATTCTGGCCATATTAGCGCTGGCTGACGTCGCTGGGGATAGAAGCAGCCCAGCGACTGGCTATATTAAGGAACTTAGCCTATGAGAATTCAGAAAGTAGGAACCATCTTCTGCCACTGATGTCAGACTAGACATTTTTCCCTCTGTTGGTAATGATAGTTTAGAGCGGCTCTCTGCTGCTGACATATTCTGCAGTGGATTTTGCTCAGGTCAGACTTGGAGAGAGGAGTTTTCCTTCTCTAGGAGCTCTGTGGATGATGGAAATGTTACAGCAAAACATTTGTGTACCCGGTGAACGCGAACTTCCCCATTTCTTTGGTTCTTGCAGCATGTGTTACAGAGCTGCTGCTGCCCATTTGCAGCCTGATGTGTTTATTAGTCTTCCCAATGGCATCTTGAAGTGTCTTTCAGCTAAAAAATTCATGAGTATTATTGGCTTTCAGTCAGAAAATGGAATATGTCTTCTAGTTACTGTCTAATATACCACTTTAAGGCCATTATACCAAAGTAAATCTAAGAGCATATTGAAAAGGAAGGAATTTTTTAGCTTAAACATTTGTTTATACACTGTACTACTCTTGCGTGGAGTAAGAAACAGCATGAGGCAAGGTAGGTGCTGAAGCCATTTCACTTGGGGGGGGATAGCAGGACAGACTTGCAGGCTGTGTTATTTTCCTTAATCCTGTCTCCAGCTGGAAACCGGTAGTATTTTATTATTGAAAAATCATGTCCTAATAATAGTACTTTGCGTTTGGTTTACTGCAGTTAATAAAAAAAAAAGTCAGGCATACTGTAAGTTGCTCAGAACTAGTGAAGTTAAACTGAGAATTTGTTTCCAAATAAGATGCCTTTTATTCTATATTTGTAGGAAGTGAGTTTCCTAAAACTTTACAATAATCAAACTGTTGTCACTGTATGAATTAACGTGCAGTTTTACGAGTTTGAATCTGTAGATACATACTGTAATATGTGAGGTAAATTAATATTGTATGAAAAGCAAGCAGTATAGCGTTTTGTAAAGATGAAGTTAAAAGTGTTCTTATGATCTAGTTCAAAAGGGTTATAACACTTTGAGAAAAATAATATACCCTCTGACTAGCTAGTTTATTTTTGAAATACTGTATAGCATCTTCTGTCACTGTTCAATGCACTAATTGTTTTGCCAGTGAAAAGAAAAAGTCTGATTTTTCTGTGTGCTCTCATTCCCTGCATTTAGTAAATCTACACAGTTCGACTTAACATTTGCATGTGTAATGCTCCTTTGTTTGCTTATTTATATGAGGCAACAGTATATCCTTGCATAATCTGTATATTTACTGCAGAGAATATTTATTTGATTCTTGCCAAGAGTTGGGGTCTTGCCAAAACAATGTTTGCTTAGGGTGATTTTGTCCACTTGACATTTTGCAAAGAGGTATTTCCCCTCCTCCGTCAATTCCGTGTTTTTATCTCTGTATCAGCTTACTGACTTCCAAGGTCTGGCCATTCTCTGCTTTCTGCCTTTCTCAGGCATCTACATCCAAAAGCACATTTGGCATATTTGAGCATTAGATACTGTTTTCTCTTTGACTTATCAGAGACTGGCCCAGAAATTGTTCTTTCTAAAGTAAAGGGTCCCCTCCCGGAACACAGTATACTTTGAGGGAAAAAAATGTTTCGAGTTTAGAATGAGCAAATGTTTTCACTTGTGATAAAGAAATAGTGAATGCATCTTTCACTACTGAGGTGGGCTTCTGAAAGGATTATCCTTTCGTAATTTAATAGAATAGAAGCAGAAAAGCATTTCAGTGAAGTTTTATTGTACAGCGGCAGTATTGCTTGAGTATTTCTTAGTCTTACAAAGTGTATGAAGAATCAGACTACAGAACACACAGCAATGTCATGTATCTCTTGTAAAAAGAGTTCAGAAAGGACCTGGAAGGCCATGGAAGCTGTAGGAGCCTTTCTGGGCTCATATCAAGAGCTAGATGATTTATCGGGCATCACCTCCTCTTGTAGGTGTTGATAAGAGAAGTTGTTTCAACAGCTCTTTGTATGTCATTTCATTATAAATTTCATCTCAAAGTAAGGAATTTCAGAGGGTCTAACTTTTAAAAACTATTTTGTGGAACTAGCAATAGAGAGATCTGATGTTGATCACTCATTATGTTTGGATTTCAGCAACAGTGTTATCCTTATTTATTCTTTAACTGAATTTGTTCCACATATAATAAATCTGACAGTTTTACAGGCCTTATTTGGAAGATGGCCAGTACTGATAAAAGATAAAATGCACATTATTGTTTGTATGAAGTCTGGATGATTAACTAGCTTTAATGGTATGAGGCTGTATTGTGAACAACAGCTTTGTTACCTGATAAGTTATGTTGATGAATTTCATGAACAAAGAGTTCAGTTTTTAATTGTGTTGAGGCTTTAACATTGCATTTTGCTTTCTGTCGATATGCTAAGGATATAACTGGCATTGTTCACCCCTCCCAGAATATCGTTACTTTAAAAAAAAAAAAAAAGCAGGCCTTGATTCTGATGGCTGTAACACTTTACTGTCTAGTTTATACAAGTTGGTATCAGAGGATGTAAGGGAGGAGGTACTGTCACAGTGAGAGCGGGATTATTGTTTGTTGTAGATAACAAGAACGAACAAATTGAAACTCCTTTTCCAGACTTGTCCTTTCACAACCCCCCACATCTGGTAGAAACTGGCTTGTTCTCAATGACTGTAATTACCATCAGATACGACCCAAGAGTTTGCTTGTGTCATTTTTCAGTTTTTGTGACTTACACTGAACAGTTTCAGAACTGAGAGTGAAACGCTCGAGAATTTTAATTTCATGTGAGTGTTGAAAACGTGCGGAAACTTTAAGAAACTATTAATTTAGGCCCACTTACAAAATAAAATAAGATTTCTAAACCTTGAGTGCTGCCCTTCACTATTTTTTTTCCGTCTCTTACCCTTTTACTGGGAATTGATTTTTAACTTTCATCTGTAAAAAATGCATTAAAACTCATCAATCCAGGGATGCCTGGGTGGCTCAGTCAGTTGAGTGTCTGCCTTCAGCTCAGGTCATGATTCCGGGGTGCTAGGATAGAGTCCCTCATCGGGCTCGTTGCTCAGCAGGGAGCCTGTTCTCCCTCTGCCTGCTGTTCCCTGCTTGTGCTCGCTTGCTGTCTCTCCCCCACCCCTGACAAATAAATAATAAACAAACAAACAAAATCTTAAAAAAATAAAACTCATCTATACATAGAGTTTATTTTAGATGATATTTTAGATGATTTTTCTGTGCCTAAGTGCACACTAGTAGTCATAAATCTATGTATTGAATCTGTTGTTCTTTCTCTGTTTTTTATCTGTGTCACTTGCGGGGGGGGCGGGATTCACTCACCTAGCTCCAGCACACGTTCCAGTGTGAAATACTGATGCTTGCTGCCAGCTGAACCTCACCTAAGGCATGAAGAGTATCAGAGTCCTCTAGATAGAGCACCACACTTCTCTTTGAGCACCTCGTTAATGAGGCTCACTGTTATTTATTTGGTTCATCCACTAAGGACCAGGGCATAAATCCACACGTTTGCTCCAGGATTTCATCTACTTCTAGCCCTGTGGCAGGCAAGAAAGAGGCGCCCAGGACCGGCTGCTTGCCGCCTGTCAGCACCTCCACCACCCTCCTCCTTTCTAGGCTTCAGCCCTAAATTTGCTTGCTTGCTTGCTTGCTTCCTTGCTTCCTTCCTCTCTCTTTCTTCTTCTTCTTCTTTTTTTCCATCTGAAGTCTTGTCTGTCTTCCCCTGGTTGATGAGCAGTGGTTCAGAGGGAGCATCCCCAGCCTGATGGCCATGGCTGGCAGAGTGCATCCGCCTGCCCCTAATTACTACAGACCCCCTCTTTTTTCTTTCCTTTGGTGGTTTACAGGTTGGTTGGCAGTGTGTACTGGACATAGCCTCAGGAAAATTGCTCAGAAAAGAGGACATATGGGGTAGACACCAAAAAATAAGTAAGCACATTCATAAAGTTAATTTTTTTTTATTTTGAGGAAATGTGTTTAAGGTACGATCACATAATAAAGAGAAAATTTAGCCCATAATAACTTATTTTAAGAGGAAATTAAGGGGCACCTGGGTGGCTCAGTCGGTTAAGTGTCTGCCTTCAGCTCGGGTCATGATCCCAGGGTCCTGGGATCGAGTGCCGCATCGGGCTCCCTACTCAGCAGGGAGTCTGCTTCTCCCTCTCCCTCTGCCCCTGCTTGTATTCCTTCTCCTGCTGTCTCTCTCTCTCTCTCTCTCTGTGTCAATTAAATAAATAAATCTTAAAAAAAAAAAAAAGGAAATTAAGTTACAAATGGAGTGGCTTGTGAGCCAGTGTTGAGTAGACTCAAGTAAAATATAAACAGTTTGCTCAAATGGTTTTCTATCCTTAGACCAGAAATTGTTAGCTCCTTGCTTTGCTCCTTATCTCCTTCTAGCCCTTTAGTTGAAATATATCAGTTCTGTCCCTTCGTGCAACATTACAATTACTAGTATATATGTTTTGGGAAATTTAAGATAGATGATGGCTGAAGCTAAAACTGAGTACAGACTTTAAGTAAGATAGTCACTTATATTGTCTTTTGAAAAGCTCTCTGATCTTTCTGATAGTACTGTATTTTTTAATATATATGGTGATACTTTGTGGGGGGCAAATAGCCATTTTCATCAACAGACTTAATACATATAGCTGCTCTATGGGGCATTTTGTTATATATTGAATGTTATATATTGATGATAAAAATTTACTTGAATTTTTATGATTTATAGAACACTGCTTCCACAGTGAAAATCGTGAAGGTCATTTGTTAAAAGCTTACTGAGATTGGATGGGTAGTATTTTTCCTTACATGCTTGTAAGTAAAACCATGAGAACTGTGGTTCCAAGAGAAATGGTGAAAAGGAATGTTCATAGGTATCATCCGAGAAGGGTTTTGGTGTTGAGGTTTTTGCTTCACCCGCTGTCCTTTTATACCTCCTGCAATGCCCTGGCTCCCTTCCTCACCATTAGAACGCCTAGACCTTCCTCAAGGCCAGCTCAGTACCTCCCTGTCCCAGCCAGCAGAGTGTTCTTCTTTCTTGGACCTTACAATACGTGGGAGTGTGAGCCAGTTATAGAATACCTTTACCAAGTTTACTTGTTGCTGTTTTCCCCATGTACAGATGTATCTCCCTCTTGTTTTCTTCTTGAGAGCAACATTCCTCCTTGTGCTTCTTGAGCACCTAGCCTGACACATAATGAATGAATGAATGACATTGAGATGACATTGACATTGACAATGACAATGACACTGAGGTGAGGGGAAAGAGTCAAGCACGGAGATGCATGCAATCCATATCTTGCACCTTCTCCCTCCTGACCTGTGCTTATGTGAGTACTGGAAGAATGGCTTCTTTGATGAGGAGACCCTTGCCATAACATCTTCGTTAAAAGTAGGGAGTGTATAACCCTGTGTACAAATCATCCCAGCTCTGACATTTGCTAAGCTGCTCAACTGCCCTGCGCTGGAGATGCTAATAATTATCCCCATTTAACAGAAAAGGTAATTAAGCCATGAGAGGTAACTTCTTAAGGTCCCACAACTAACCAAGTGGTAGAGCTTGGACATGGATTACGTGCATACAGCTTCTCTGCTCGATTGCCTCTCATAGTCTGTTTTGATGATTAAATCATGGCCAGCAACTGCTTGGTGCATACTAAATGCTAAACAAATAACTAAATACAGATTATACTTATTATCAGCCCCAAACTGTGCCCACGGTACAGGACCTTGGGACTTAGCTACATTGCTCCCACGGCAGGAAACTCAGGCATTAGCTTTCAGATTGTTCCCTCCTGTGTGACCTCTTGAATATAATGTGCAATTGGTGCAGCCTCCCTCAACTGATACAGTGTTTCTTCGTCCTACTTCCACATGACTCTAAAAAAAAATTCATTCCTCTGCCCTCTTGGATCAGAGTTGTGACCAGAAGAAATACTTGTAGGGAGACTGAGCATCGCAGATTTCACGGAGGGAACGCTGGGCAGTTTGATGGGTATGTGACAATGATAAAATGATCGGTGTTTTCTTCGCCCACCTTCCTCTTTGTCCTTTCTTCATGAACCTGTAACTCTCTGGCATTTTTCTGAAGTCCTTGACCTTCTTCTACTGTCTTGCCCTTCCATCCAATTTTTCCAATCCAGAAAGGAAGAAAAGCCACTACAGAAAGTAAAGGAGGGTGAAGGTGACTTTAGAAGCCTGGGAGACAGAAGGAAGGGGGAAATAGCAGAGAATTGAAACTCTAAGATTAAAGACTTTTAAATGCTGACTTAATCTTTTTAGGCTGCACTTTTTTTCTTTTGCTAAGCAGTTATTAAGCACCGTGTGCTTAAGCGACTACATCATTTCCCCAGCGTCTTTGTTAGTCCCTTTGTTTAGTTCTCATAGAATTTAAACCTCTGTCACTCTGTTCTTTGCGTATTTAAATGTTATTTTGATTTTACTGATGATGACCAATGTGAACACACTCTCTTACTGTATATCCTTTTATTTTCTTATTGGAAGGAATCCAGCAAGCAGGAGCCAGTAATTGTCCTCCTTCGTTAGGGTCAATAATGTTCCCTGATTTTTTTTTTTTTTTTTAAGTATATTTTAAGACCTTCGGTGATAGCAGCTAGAATTGGTGATAGCAGCTAGAATTAGCTGAGGGAGGGAGCCTCAGGAGTGGCAGGATGTGAGAAAGGAAACTACCGAGGGGAGGTGTGCTTAGGAAGGCGAGCTGCCGGGGAGAGAGGGCTGGGAGGGAGAGGGCGGAGGGCGAGGGCGGAGCATCGAGGCCGCTGCCGCAGGGGTGGAGGGAACTGGAGACTCCACGGGGAGGCGGAAACATCCTCTATTTGGGGAGCATTGCTTCTGGAGGTCTCGTGCGAGGCCAGGATCTGTGGGTCAGATGTAGCTGGGCGGATTTGGAAACATTCAGCTTACTGGTGGGGCACTGCTTCTTCCCAGGGCTGTCTGTCATGGGTGAGCTATTGCAGCACAGACTTCACATTGGCCAACCCAAAACAGAGACTGGGAGGAGCCCCTTACAACACCTGTAGCTTCCCCATGGTGCAAGATCACTCCTGAAACTGAAGGCTGGCTGCAGAAACCCAGGGCCAGCAGATTGTAGTTCATGGTGCTGCTGAAATGCAATGTCTGCTTAAAGAGTCTGGGCCCAATGAGGTAGGCTTGTTTGCTTTTGAAATGTGAACCTTTACAAATACTTAACTTTTAAACAAGGTAAAAAAAAAAATTGAGCCCTTTCATTAGAAGTTACATGTGCATATTAACCAAACAATGTTCATCATCAGTAACTTGTCAAATTTCTGATTGAAGTCGAAGTTCTTTTATTGGTGGTAAATTGATCAGGCACTTTATCATCAGCTCTGTTCTTTTTTTTTTTTTTTCCCCATTTCTTGTTTTAGTTGCTGATATGTGTTCAAGATGAGTGGGATGGGAGAAAACACCTCTGACCCATCCAGGGCAGAGACAAGAAAGCGCAAGGAATGTCCTGACCAGCTTGGACCCAGGTTAGATTCTTGCTGAGAAACAGAATCAGTACTGCCCATGAAAGCCACATGCATGCAGCATTGACTTGACACCTAATTGAAATACTGTTTGTTTTTCCTCCTTAACCGTTAAACCTTTGAATATATATTATTTAACTTACATTTGGGTTATGCTGATCAGTTGCAGATTTTATTATTCTTTACAAGAGGACTGAAAGCTACATACTTCTTCTGATGTCCCCTGTGTACTTGACTATTAAAGCAGGCTTATTATATAATTTTGAGTCTTCCACATTTTCTTTTCTGTTAGATCACAGGAGGTGATAAAGACAAGAATACCCCATAGTAGAATTTGCTGTTTTTACACTAAGTTTTATTTTTACTTATTTATTTTTTTGAGTTGGTAACAAAGATTGTGGCCCTTCAGTGAGTAAAACAAGTAATTTAAAGCAAGTTCCATGTCATATATTATGGATGGAAGTGTCAGTTCTAATCTCCATGCAGGGTAATTTAGCATTATCTAGTAAAATTATAAATGGGTATCCTCTTTGAACTAGCAGTCCACTTCTAGGAATTTTCCAGCAGTATGCTTTCACACTGGCAAAATGATAGACACTGAGTTTACTTTTTACAGCATTGTTTAATAATTGCAGAAGAGTAGGAAAAACCTCAATGTTTGTAGGGAACTATTTAAACAGCTATGATACCTCCATAACCTGGAATGCAATACAGCTATGAAAAACAATGAAGATGCTTAATGGATTGATATAAAAAGAATCTCTTAAGAACATTGTTACAGAGAAAAACAAGTTTTGAAGCATGTTTATGGAGTACTACCCTTTGTATAAACTACCCCTTTGTATAAACCATTTGTTTTGGGGTAATTATGAAACACTTAAGTGTTGTTAACCCATTTTGGGGGATGAGAACTAGGCTACTAGGTAACAAAGGTAGGAGAGAGACTTCATTCTTTTGATTACTTAAATCATATAAATGATTTTAAAAGTTAAATAAAAGCAGCAGCTTCTGTTAAAGTAATAGATCAGATGGAGTAATAGCCAGTAAAAAGATCAGATGGAGAATAACAGGGAAGAGGACTAGGAAAAGTCATTAAGACAGGAAGAAAAGGAGAAAGAGCAAAAATTTTTTATGTTCCCTTTTCCCCTTTTAGTTGCCAAACAGAACAAGTGTATTAAATCGCTACTGTGCGCATTCCAGCCCCCGACCCTCGGCTCCACTACGTGGCCTCTAGATTTCCCCGGTACCTCCTGGCTATCCACAACCATCTGTCTGTCAAACTGCCTTTAATGCCTGGAAGTTCCCTCGAGGAGGCAGTTTGATAAAATGGAGACTGTTCCGATGGAGCGCAGTTCTCTTACCTCGTGCTGCGCCAGCGCCAGGGTGCAGTGCGGTGGAGAGTCTCCGAACCCTCTCCCGAACACTCTCCGGGGCGCTCTCGGGCCTTTGTAACACATTAGCTCCCCTTTCTCACCTATTTGTCATGTGTTTATTCATCTTGCGGGTGGGGGGGGTGGTGGTGCTGCTGAAGAGAGGTTGAGGGGGGCTGAGGGGTCCAGATGGGAACTTGGCTCTTCCATGCATTCCATCCATTCCCTGCCTTTCCCTGTACTTAATGAAGTAGAAGTTAGGAATAAAATTGAGACTTAGAAAAACCAAATTCAGGTCTCTGCTCTACCAGTAACTCACTGGGTGATCTTGGACAAATTGTGTAACCACTATGAAATGGAGAAATTGTCTTCTATCTCAGCTTTATTAGTTTATGAAAATAAAGCTAATACTTGGAGGCAAATAGATGGAAGTCTATTACTGAGTACAAATTCTTATCAATTGGTATTACATACAAATAATTATATATTAAAAATACAGAAAGCTGCTATATTAAACAACTTATATTTCTTACTTATTGTATTGTTTGAATGTCATTTAGTGGGTCCTCTACTAAAAAAAAAGGTGTGTGCTGTTATTATCAAAGGGAACTTGCTATTTTGTCGAATTCAAATGCGAAGATCTTGCCAATTTTTATTTTTCCCTCTCTTGCATTAACTTTTTAAAACTTTAGTTGAACTTGGACCATTTGTGTATATTTTGCACGTCATTCAGCTTGGACAGTTAACAAATACCCTAGGTCAGTTTCGCTTTTGTTTCTGGCTGTACTGTGGTTTTTTGCATTATCTAAAAAAATTGTTTGGTTTGATTACCAACATTCTAAAGAAGTCTATGAAATCATGGAGATTTACTTTTATCTTTTTATGCTTTACCAAAAATCCCTGCCAATTTATTTATTCCTATTCTAACTAGGTTAGGTTCCCTTTCTTCTTTTACTAATCTTAAAATTTTATAACATAATCTCCCTTACCTTTCTAAAACGTTCCTCTATGTATTCAACAATAAATTTGATACCTACTTCTACCAAGTGTTGTATTAAGCACAGTGATGAGCAAATCGTCCTGAGCCTTATCATTGTGAAGCTTACTGTCCCGTGGGAGACATGCACGTTGAACAAATGATCACACAATTAAATCTATAATCATGTACTGGGGTGAGTTTGATTTCAAAAAACATGCAACACTTAGGGCAAATTGAGGGTTTTTTCCCCCCAAAGTACCTCCATGTTTATGTAAGTAACTTTTGTTTGCTATCTTTGTATTAGAACTTGTTTAACATGCTTACATTTTTTATAATAGCTTTTTTTCAAATTCATAATAAAAACATGTATCTCCTTTTTAGTCCCAAGAGGAGCAATGAGAAACGTAATCGTGAACAGGAAAATAAATATATTGAAGAACTTGCAGAGCTGATTTTTGCAAATTTTAATGATATAGACAACTTTAACTTCAAACCTGACAAATGTGCAATCTTAAAAGAAACTGTGAAGCAAATTCGTCAGATCAAAGAACAAGGTAAGAGGACTGAATTAATATTTTGGGGACTTGAGCCGGTTTCTGTTTTTTCATGTGTGAGAAGTCCCTTCAGAGTCCCTTTAATCCATTTCTTATGCTTAAATTATTGATGAGGAAATGATGTCACAGTGCAAGATGAATGTAAGTATCACTTGCAGTGGTTTATAAATAGGCTTTATATAAAATTCAGCAATTCCCTAAAGACAGAGGAGACTGAGGTGAGACAGGGTGATGTAACTTTTCATCTAGTAAAACTCAATTAGGTGCCCACTGATTCTCCTCCCCTACCTTGGAATTTTCATTGCTTGCACAGCAAGTGACTGTCATAATTTGCAAGTGAGGAGCCAACTACAGATGGAAACCAGAAGTAAGGAAGTGAGCCACCTCCTGTTTCAGCTAGTCAGCATATTTGATTAAGTCTGAGCCTCAACTGGCCATGCCGCTAGATTAGAATTTCATATCCTGAATGACAAGAGATTTGAAAGGCTCAAGCTTCCAGTCCGAATTCTTTTGTGAAGTTGAAACAGAGAACATGACAGCTTTGTTCCTGGGGTTTTTCTTTTTTTCTGAGATCATTTTCTGCCTCTCTTCTTTGAAGAAAAAAAAAATTTAAGAAAATACTATTTTAAAAAACACATTGGACTTTGTGGTGCCAAAAAAAAAAAAAAAATCAGTATTAGGCAAGTATGAACAGTGTCTGGGTGCTTAGGGCCAATATATGCTCTTAAAGTATTCATACTCTGCTTTCCTTCAGGGCTGGGGAGATTATTATCTCTTGTAATCTGTTTTTGAATGCATCCTCTAGAGTTCATTTTTTTTAATCTACCTTTTATGTGATATTCAAAAGAGGCACATTTTAGAAAAATAATGTCTTTGTGCAGGTATATGACCTGAAACTTCCCATCTGTCATAAAATCCTAGCTACCTATTTGCATATCATCATTATAGCTTTTTTCATTTTTATACATTTACTATTAAGCTAAGTTTTATATAAAACAGTTTTATAAATGTAGTTCTGTCTTCTAAGAAGTTAAAAATATATGCCTAACATACACAACACAGTTTCTAATACCAGCCCACTCTGAAAATCAGTCTTTATTTCCTGGTTTCTCAACCAAAATTCTATAACTTGGCACTTAACATTCCATGAGTTTCTGCTCTCAGTGCCTGCCTCGGTTTCCCTTCATCTCTTTTTTCTTCTGTCTGTTCCCTTTGAGATCCACTAGTTATCAAAAACTCAGTTTAATCTCAATTTTGAATCTTCATTTTTTGGGTATCAGCAAATGGATAGAATAATATTCCTACAGCTCTTAGGAGAAATAATTGGTTAAAGTTTCATAGTGCTTTGAAGTTGCTCTATCTCTAGTTGCTGATATTACGGTGGAGAAATCAAGCTGCTTGTTTCAGGTTTCTGAAGATTTTGAATGATACAATTTTGTGAACATTGCATGTTAGGCAGGACTTCCACACTTTAAAACAGTTATATATATTTTTTTACTATCAAGGTCTTTCACAAGGTTTTAAAAGTTTTGCAAAACCTTGGTAATTCCCCTTTCCAACCATAAGACACGTTAAGATGTGTCACGCTGGGACTCTGCCATACTCTTACTGTAGGTTTAATCATAAGGCTGCATACCACAACCACCCAAGAAACAGCAGCAATAAACACCCTGTCATGTCTTATTCTTATAATGTTCCTATTTGAAAAATAATGTCTTTTGAAAAGGGAAGCAGAAATTAAAAACCAAATGAAAAACACAGATACACTTTCATGTTCTAATCTAGTATTTAAAAAATATTTTTTGTTTAACAAATTGTTTTTTAGAAAACAGCAGGACTTCAGAATTAAATCAGACAGAAGCCTTGGTATGAATCCTGGGTCTGCCACTGACAAGCTCTTTGAACCTGGGCAAATTATTTTCTCTCTCTGAAACTCCATTTCCTCATACAGAATTTAGCAGTCACAATATTGAGGTTGTGCGGTTGTTGAAATCATGAGCTATGTAAATGCACTCAGCAAATACCTGTCACAGTGAAGGTTTGGTAGGTATTCAGTAAATACCTTTTTCACATTAAGCAGGAAGTCGCTTTCTTTTCTTCACATATGCTAGGGTCTTCAGTGAGCTCTTCCTTCAGATGGAGAATGGGAAATAAAAACGGTGGGGAAGTACGTTATGAATATCCTTTCCTATAGGGTCATTTGAAGAACGTAAGATTTTCTGAGGCCAGAGAACTCTGCATAGCCTTTGCATACCACTCCCCGGCCACCTCTATTGAGGCCAAGCTTGGTTTGTCTCCGCAGTGGAGGGCCAGCTGAGGTTCAAGAGCAACGCATAAGTCATACCCGAGCCCTTCTCTCGCATTCTTTGTGCCCAAAAGATCCCCCTTTGAATCAGTATAAATAAAGCCCATCCATCATCTTTCCAACGTTTCCAAACTTCATTTGTATTTCAGTCGCAAGTCTCAGATTGAATAATATCATAATTGTGCTAGAGCAGGTAGACTGGATTGCATGGGGAGCCACGGTAAAGAATCCACATCAGGAAAGCCAGGCTTGTATTTAAGGTGCCCTCCAGTGTCAAAAGCTCAGGGAGATGAGCCAGGCATGCTGGGGTTTTTCTCGCGAGTCTACTCTGTCATCAGCTGTTCCTCAAGTTCCCATCCACTTTATAAATAGAGGAGAGAAGAAAGGATATTTTAAAATGGCCTAAACGATGGGAATTTGGAGGGAGAATTGCCAGCTATTTAAATAAGTCAGCATTCTCCTGTATATAGCACGTTATGAGACACATGTCTGACAGATGCCAGCCCTCCAACAGCATGCACACTGCAGTGGATCTTGCAGGAGCAAAGCAGATAGACACGGTGTGGACTTAAGCCCTTACACCAGCTTTGTGATATTGAAGTATGAGGCTTTGTCCTATTTAAGACGATGCTGATAATGTTTAAAACTTCTGGCTCCTATAACGTACAATAATAGTCCATAAATAGTAAATAACCTTTTTTTCGTAATTAGGGAGGCTAATATTGCTTCTGTTCCACAGAAGAATAATAAGTAGTATGAAAAATACAAATGATTTAATTGGGAATTATTGTGTCGAACTTCATACTCCTTAGCTGGAAACTTAAATAAAAATTTCTATGGAAAACACCTAGTAATTCATATGCTCTTAAAAAATAAAATTGAGGGGCTCCTGTGTGGCTCAGTCAGTTAAGCAGCTGCCTTCGGCTCAGGTCATGATCCAGGGGTCCTGGGATCGAGTCCCACATATGGCTCTGTGCTCAGTGGGGAGTCTGCTTCTCCCTCTGCTGCTACCCCCTGCTTGTGCTCTCTCTCTCAAATAAATAAAACCTTAAAAAAAAAAAAAAAGAAACAGGCTATCTAAAAGACCATTCTGGTTTCTCATTGTGATTACTCTAATGATACAGTTCTGATTTTAGTGCTGTTTTGAGAACATTGGGATTCCAGATTGCTTTGTACTTGTGAATTTCTCCTAAAACTGCAAATAACATTTAAAAAAGTAAGTACTTTAAGAGAAGGTGAGGCCCTGTGGTATGCTAGAGTCAACTCTTATCAACCAATGAAAGCCAGTTTCTCAGTTTCAAGAATTTTGTAAGCCAACTGATGAGCACAGCCATTATTAAAAATTATACAGATGTAAAAAAAAATTACACAGACTTACAATTAAATTATATTTTAAAAAAGCAAGGAAGACTAAAACCTATCATTTTCTAATTATCCTAGTGCATTTTGCCATTATCTATGCACTAGAGGCTCTTGGCATCTTGTATCATCTACATAATAGAAGTACTATGAAGTGCTGACTACTCTGCATCTCTTCCTAAGTCCAAATTCAATAATGTTACCATGCCTGATTTCAGATACAACAATACTGACACCCTGGAAATCTAGTAAACTCTACAAATCAAAGCTTGATTTATTGTTTTGCTGGCTGTCATTTTAGATTTAAAAAGTAAGGGAGATTTTGAGGAAAAGAAATTAAGGAGAAAATGTTAATAATTACCATCTGACATTTTTTTTTAACCATCTGACATTAAGTAGCCATTATGTGCATATACAAAAGATAATATCCAGTTCATCAAAAAAAGTCACTCACAGATTGACAATTGCATTTCTTCATTCAGCATCTTTGTCTTATTTATTAACTTAAATGAAAATTTCTTATTTTTTTTTTTTTTAAGATTTTATTTATTTATTTGAGACAGAGAATGAGAGACAGAGAGCATGAGAGGGAGGAGGGTCAGAGGGAGAAGCAGACTCCCTGCCGAGCAGAGAGCCCGATGCGGGACTCGATCCCGGGACTCCAGGATCATGACCTGAGCCGAAGGCAGTCGCTTAACCAACTGAGCCACCCAGGTGCCCAAATGAAAATTTCAACCAATATTCATATTGGAACTATTTTTCATCCATTGTAATTATAGGTTGGTTGCAATCCAAAAATTTGGCAAACATTCACAGAAGCATTCTGTAAGAATCAGTTGGCTATATGGAATTGACAATAAAGAGTGTTGTATTATCATTTATAGATTATATGCTACACATCCTTTATACTAGGAAAATTTGTAGTAAACATGATGCTTACTATTTTTCCCCCAAAGAGCTGGGTTTTTAAGTATTTCCCAGTATACTGCTTGTAGCCATGGAGGTGGGCAGGTTGTATTATAGATGTAGGTGAATCAGATTCATAAACTAACAGGATTATTTAAGAATTCAAGAAAATAGTAATGAAAACAACCTACTCTTAGCCCATAAAAGTTCATGTGGAGCCTATTAAAATTATGTTTTTCTTTCCTATTCTTTTTTTACCATGTTAAATGCATGACGTTCTTGTGGTGGAAATTGTCATTCAAAGCTGAAGCCTGAGCTTGAGCTATTAGCTGTCATGAAGCAAAGTAAGCAGAAAGGCTCCGATAACAGATGTTTTTCAGGGATAGGATTTCTATAAATCAGGCTTTTGGGGTGATGCTCCTAGGCCTTG